CAGCGAGGATGAACCTCATTACATTGAGGGGCGGCTGAAGCAATAAGCAAGTGACGCATTTGCATATAGCGCTCTTGAAGTGCCCCCGCTTACACTTGAAAGTTACCTAGGGCCAGCCCTGCTCTTGCCTTAGTACTCTTCCTATTAAAAGAAGGAAAAACTGCTTCTTATTTTCACATGAAATTCCGTGGTTGTAATAAACCCACTTCTTCAGAATACAGTACTGAGTGGTATTAAAGCTTCAGGGATCAGCATCATTCTGGATCCTGTTACATCCTATCCCACTTCTGTAAGATGCTTGATGCCCAAGGTCTTAATGCTGCTTAAGACCCGTCGCAAACTAGCCTCCTGCGGGAGCAAACTGTGCCAGCACGCCCATGACGTCATGAGACTCCGCCCCTTTCTCCGCCTCTTTCTCCGTGCCAGAGTGGTTTTTCCTTTGCTAGGGCAGCATTGCCAACGTACTCTCGTTGTTGAATTCTGTCAACAACGAGAGTACGCTGGCAATGCTGCCCTAGCAAAGGAAAAACCACTCTGGCACGGAGAAAGAGGCGGAGAAAGGGGCGGAGAGAGAGGCGCAGTCTCATGACGTCATGGACGTGCTGGCACAGTTTGCTCCCGCAGGAGGCTAGTTTGCGGCGGCTCTAAGACCCGTCGCAAACTCTGTTCCTGTGGGAGCAAACCTTGCCAGCACGTCCCTGACGTCATGAGACTCCGCCTCTCGCCCCGCCCCTTTCTCCGCCCCTTTCTCCGTGCCAGAGTGGTTTTTCCTTTGCTAGGGCAGCATTGCCAGCGTACTCTCGTTGAATTCTGCCAACTGAGAGAGTACGCTGGCAATGCTGCCCTAGCAAAGGAAAAACCACGCTGGCACGGAGAAAGGGGCGGAGAAAGGGGCGGGGAGAGAGGCGGAGCCTCATGACGTCAGGGACGTGCTGGCAAGGTTTGCTCCCGCAGGTACCTAGTTTGCGGCGGCTCTTAGAGCCGCCGCAAACTAGGCTCCTGTGGGAGCAAACCTTGCGAGCACGTCCTTGACGTCATGAGACTGCGCCTCTCTCTCCGCCCCTTTCTCCGTGCTAGAGAAGAAAACCACTGGTTTTTCCTTTGCTACATTGCCAGCGTATCTCTCAGTTGAATTCTGCCAACCGAGAGAGTACGCTGGCAATGCTGCCCTAGCAAAGGAAAAACCACTCTGGCACGGAGAAAGAGGCTGAGAAAGGGGCGGGGCGAGAGGCGGAGTCTCATGACGTCAGGGACGTGCTGGCAAGGTTTGCTCCCGCAGGAGCCTAGTTTGCGATGGGTCTTATATTGCATCTGAAGAAGTGCGTTTATATCTGCAAAAGCGCATGCAAAACATTAAAAACTGTGGTTAGTGCTGGTTTTCAAGGTACTGCCACATTTTTTTTTCTCCTCCCTCCTTTTTATTCTGCAAGAGACTAATGGGACTATATATATATATATTTGCTCTTAAAATGTTGGGACAAGTAATGGCATTCTAGTATATATCGGTAGAGACAGACTAGGATCCAGCTTAAGTGATTTTATAGAATCATTAAACTGGAAGAAACTTCGTGAACCATCCAGTCTAAACCCCTGCCAAGAAGCAGGAAAATCACATTCAAAGCACCCCTGACAGATGGGCATCCAGCCTCTGCTTAAAAGCCTCCAAAGAAGGAGCCACCACCACACTCCGGGGCAGAGAGTTCCACTGCTGAACAGATCTCACAGTTAGGAAGTTCTTTCTAATGTTCAGGTGGAATCTCCTTTCCTGTAGTTTGAAGCCAGTGTTCCGCGTTCTAGTCTCCAGGGCAGCAGAAAACAAGCTCGCTCCCTCTTCCCTGACTTCCCTTCACATATTTATACATTACTATCATGTCTTCTCCCTACCTTGTCTTCTTCAGGCTAAACATGTCAAGCTCTTTAAGCCTCTCCTCATAGGGCTTGTTCTCCAGACCCTTGATCATTTTAGTCGCCCTCCTCAGGACACATTCCAGCTTGTCATCTTGAGCCCCAGGCTGTGAATCTGGAGACCGGAGCCAGCCTTGGGCAAGTCACGTTCTCTCAGCCTCAGAGGAAAGCAATGGCAAACCTCTTTTGAACTAATCTTGCGGAGAAAACCCTATGTTCGGTTCTCTTTAGGGTTGCCATAGGTTGGAAATTACTTGAAGACATACAGACAGGTGACTGCAGATCCAGGGTACATCTACACCAGGCATGGGCAAACTTGGGCCTTCCAGGTGTTTTGGACTTCAACTCCCACCATTCCTAACAGCCTCAGGCCCCTTCCTTTTCCCCCTCAGCCGCTCAAGCGATGATGGGAGTTGAAGTCCAAAACACTTGAAGGGCCCAAGTTTGCCTATGCCTGATCCTCGCTATAGATTGAATGCAGTTTGACACCACTTGAACTGCCTGGAGCTGTAGTTTGGCGAGGCACCAGCCTTCTTTGGCACAGAAGGCTAAAGACCATGTAAGACTACAGCTCCCAGGATGCCATGAATGTCAAACCAATTTTTGAGTGGAGTGTCCCAGGGCCCTTCCACATACAACCCTATATCCTAGGTAGAAAATCTCACAATATCTGTTTTGAACTGAGTCACCTGAGTCCACACTCAAATAATGTGGAGTTTTCTGCCTTGGGATATAGGGCTGTGTGGAAGGGCCCCTAGAAGAGCGACAAGAAGCACAGGAAAATGGGGGGGGGGTGGTGATTTCGGGTGGCGAGGTTCAACTGTCGCCTCGCGAAAGGGAAGCGGGCTTTCTGGCGTGCGGGTGGCGTCGGATGCTGAAGCGGGCCTGGCACGGGCCCCGCGAGGCCTGTTCCAAGGCCCTTGCTGTTGCCACGGCAACCACTCCCTCCGCTGAACCCTCACCCCGCGCAGGCCTCCTCTGCCGCGACGGAGGGATCACGTGACGGCGGCCAATATGGCGGCGACCGCGGTGCCTGGGAGGTGATCGCCGGGCCCGGGCCCGTCGCCGCCCGCATCCGCCTCCATCCCCGGCCATGCAGAGCGAGCGGAGGGAGCCCGGGGGCCGGGAGGAGGTGCAGGCAGGGAGCCTCCGGGGACCGGGACGCTTGGGAGGCCGGGGCCGGCCATGGCCGGAGGAGGGAAGGGGATTGTTTACATCCGGAGGGAGGCCTGGGCGCCATCCCCAAGGGCCGGAGGGCGCTGCCCACAGACACAGGGGGCAACTCCGGGAAGGGAGAGTCCGCTGTGAGGAGAGTAGTCCCATCGGGAGCTGGGCAGGGAGGGCTTTGTTGACTTCTGCGTCTCCAGGGGGCCCAGAACGGGAAGAACTGGGAGAAGTTGTTTTCCTCGAGTTCTAGAAAATGGGCTCGTTTCCAGAGGTTACCTTGCAGTTATTGTAGGGCACACCCACACTGTAGAATTAATCCAGTGTAACTCTACTTTAACTGCTACGGCTCAATGCTGTGAAATCTCAAGAGTTGTAGTTTTATAAGGCCTATAGCAGGCATGGGCAAACTTTGGCCCTCCAGGTGTTTTGGACTTTAACAATTCCTAACAACTTCAGGCCCCTTCATTTTCCCCCTCTGCCGCTTAAGGGAAAAGGATGGGCTTTAATTCCCACAATTCCTAACAGCCTCAGGCCCCCTCCCCCCCCCTTAAAGGCTGCTTAAGAGAAAAGAAAGGGGCCTGAGGCTGTTAGGAATTGTGGGAATTGAAGTCCAAAACACCTGGAGGGCTGAAGTTTGCCTGCACCTGGTCTATAGTCTTTTCTGCCAAAGAGTGTTGGTGCTTAAATAAATTACCAATCCCAGAATTTCATCGCATTGAGCCATGGCAGTTAAAGGGTTGCCAAACTGCATTAATTCTACAGTGCAGATGCAGCCATAGAATTAGGCAGGGAGGCCTACATTGCCTTGCTTATAAGAGTGCATTCTATTGTAGTGCAGAAGTATTGCAGAAGAGTGCAGAAGTATTGTGTAGCATTGAGGCATGGCAATTAAAGTAGTGCAAAACTACATACACTAGATTCCTAGGCCCCTTCCACACAGCTGAATAAAATCCCACATTATCAGCTTTGAACTGGAATATATGGCAGTGTGGACTCAGATAACCCAGGGCCCTTCCACACAGCCATATAACCCAGAATATCAAGGCAAAAAATCCCGCAATATCTGCTTTGAATTGGGTTCTCATGAGTTCACACTGACATATATTCCAATTCAAAGCAGATAATTTGGGATTTTATTTAGCTGTGTGGAAGGAGCCCCAGTTCAGAGCAGATATTGTGGGATTTTCTGCCTTGATATTCTGAGTTATCTGGCTTTGTGGAAAGGACCCTCAGTTAACCCAATATCTACATAGTTTGGTGTGTGTAGTTTCTGATTGCTTGTGAGTTGCTATAGAAATAGGCCTAACTAATGTTGAGCCCCATACTATACCATACCACAAACTCTGTATGGACTTGACATAAAATTGGGACACAGTAATTAAAAGCAAATTAAGACAAATAAAGGTAAACTGAGCATACCAGCTTTTTCATTTAAAATATTCTTCCTTTATTTTGATAGTTGATTGAGTTTTGGTTAATTGAACATTCATTCTACAATATAGAGGCACCTTCTCGCAAGGTTATGGGAGTGTAAAGAGAGTCTAGGGCCTATCGAGCAATGAGGGTGGACTGCCCCTGCAAAAAATGAGGAGTAGGCTTGAGTTGCCTCTACACTGTAGAGTTAATGCAGTTTGACACCACTTTAACTGCCATGGTCCGATGCAATGGAATCCTGGGATTTGTAGTTTGTTGAGGCATGAGCTCTTTTTGGCCGAGAAAGTTAAATACCTTGTAAAACTACAACAGCTCCCATGATTCCATAACAGTGAGCCGTGACAGTACAAATGGTGTCAAGCTGCATTCATTCTACAAAGTAGAGGCACCCTGAGTTTGAACTGCTAATCTAGTAAAGGTGACCAGTGAGGTGTTTCTTATTCATTCTCAAAAAGCAGGACCTTAATGTTTCATTCTTCTGTCTCTTTCTGCAGACATTCCTGCGAGTGAGAGCAAACAGACAGACCCGACTGAATGGTGAGTATGATATGAAATCTGCACTATATTCAGGACTAATGGCTTCTCTGGCCAAATGTGAGCAAAAGGATTTAAGCCTTAACCCACATCACTTTTGTTCCTAACCCATTGTGTTCTTTTCTGAATCCTGTTCAAATTGTTGATATCTTTCTTGTCACATGGATTGGTTGATCTCTCAAAGTACACAAAACATGCTAAATAAATAAGCATTTTAATGATTATATTTTTAAATATTTTAATGGGTGCATTTGTATTTGTCATCCCTGAAACATTATTCTGTTGCAGACTATTCAGTTTATAATTTACTATAATATCAAGATTTAGGAGTTCTGCCCTTTTGAATGTTACTGCCATCTTAATTGTATATTAGATAACTATGCATATATATTAATTACACTTTATTATTGCCATTCTTCTGGTGTCTACAAGAATCCCCCTTCACTTGGGCTGTATCTACACTGTCCTATATCCCAGAATCTGATCCCAGATTATCTGCTTTGAATTGGATTTTATATGTCTACCCTGCCAGATAGTCTGGAATAAGCGGACAATCTGGGATCAGATCCTGGGATATAGAGCAGTGTAAATCAGCCTTGGTTTCTGTGGAGTTGGTACTTCAGATTGTGGCCCCTCTACTGCCATATAAAATCCAGATTATCTGCTTTGAACTGGATTATAGGGCACTATAGATTCATATATTCTGGTTGGAGAATCTGAATTATATAGCAATGTAGAACGGGCCTATATGGCAACTTTAGGTGCATCTACACAATATAATTAATTCAGTTTGACACCACTTTAACTGCCCTGTCTTAATGCTGTGGAATCCTGGGAGTTGTAGTTTGTTGTGACACTAACATTCTTTGGGAGAGAAGGCTAAAGATCTTGTAAAATCTTGCACAATTCCCTAGCGTCAGTTAAAGTGGTGTTAAACTGCATCAATTCCCCATTGTAGATTTTATCTTTCGTGCTGGACCATGATACTATATCTCTATATATGTAATTGTAGCGTCCACAACGTTTGGTATTGGGTTAGATTTTCACATGAAGTATCCTAGAAATTTCTAATTCCAAAATATTTTTCTACTCGTATGCCATGTTCTCATCAAGTAGAATAATTAGTTGTGCAACACAGTAACTCTTTATTTTAACAAATTCATCTTCTGTCACTGAGTACAGAAATAGTATGCACTCAGTCAAAAATAAAGACAGTAAAAACTTTGGCTTTCAAAGTCATGAGCAACTGTAAATTATCCTGACAATGTAAGGGAAATGCAATATTTCCTTTCATTTTTGAATGCCAACAAGCTCCAGGGCTGTAAGATCTATGTTGGTGGTACTCGGTGTGTCAGATACAAGAAAGAGCTTTGAATTAAGATTAACGAGAACTGTGCACTGCATAGTGAGTACATGTGATCTGCCTTTCACATACACAAACCACAGAAGTCTTTCTCCTACTGAATAATTTTGGTATATGATTAATGAATACTTCTGCTGCATTCCATCTATTGATCGTCTCACACATATTCCCTTGTGACACTTGGTGCTGCTATTGAAAATGCGTATTGCAGAAATACTAATATTTTTCCAAGAGCTTTAAGACGCTATTAGTGATTTTTGAAAACAGACTGGCCCTTGCCAAACTTACTGCTTATCAGGCATAATACTAAACAGTGATGTGATGTTAATGAATCCCAGGAAGCCTTAAGCTTGTATTCTCCCCCCCCCCCCAAATACCATCCCTCAAGGAGTCAATCAGAAGCACTCACTTGTATTTAAAATTAACTACCATTCAACGTATTATGTGAACCCTTTCTGTGTATAATCCTAACTACTACAGTGAATTGAAACAAACTTAACATTATAAACATTGAAGTTAACCTTCCAACTAATTGTAGTTAAAATTAATTCCTGTTTAACTGAATCCACAGGATGCTGTGGGCTGTAGTCTATGTATGTTGGGAACTGCTTTGTTTATTACTTCTCAGCCCACATGTTTCCTGAAGCAGTGTACAACACATATAAATAATGTTTAAAATAAATACCAGAAATAAAACAACACACAACTTTAAACAGTTAAGAACCAAAGACCATACAAGATAACTCAATCTTAGCTAACCTTTAGAAGCTCATTAGGGATTATCCTGGCTGTGCCTGGATAGTAGATGGTTCACAGACTCAAGTTATCTAAAATTTGAACTTCCAGCTTTACATTACATTACATTATGTTATTTGAAACAACTGTTGTTTATCTTTGTTGTTTATCTTTGTTTCAGCTCTTCATGTTTATTTAATATTCTGGTATCATCTCAATACTTTTTAATTTATCGTGAACCTCTTCCAACTTTCAGGTGTGAAACTTGTCTTATATTTGTGACAGCTAAAAGTCAGGATTTTAGAATCATTAGCTACTCTTGCTGTTAGGATGACTGTGAACTTGAGTCTAAAGTTCTGCTAGTTTATGCTGTTGATATATGTTCCTCCTATTAATACCTGCAATTGGTTATATTTATTTCTGCCTCATCTTACCGTTTTTAAAAACTCCACTGAACCATGTTTTTGTTTCTTATATGCTGCTGCGAGTCAGACAGGGCCGTCCTTGCCTTAATTCAGAGAACAGTTAAATTAGTTATATTCCTTGGTTGTAGCATATAAGCAGATCAGATTCCTTATTTATATTATTATTTACTATTCTTGTATACCGCTGTATCTCAAGCCCGAGGGCGACTCACAGCGGTTTCCAGAAAGCAAACAACAAAGACAGTAAAAACAGCAGTAATCAATATATCATAACAGTTAAACTACACAATTCCATTTCTAGCAATAAACAAACATCAATACACAGTTATCACAAAAAAAACCACCCCGGATCGCCTCATCATCCAAACGTGATCCAAATTCGACGTCCATTGTTCCGTTCCTATGTTCAAATTACCAGGATTGCACTGAATTACTCAAACGCCTGCACAAACATCCAGGTCTTCAACTTTCTACGGAATGTCATGAGAGATGGTGCCAGCCTAACATCTACAGGAAGGGCGTTCCACAGCCGAGGAGCCACCACCGAGAAGGCCCTATCTCTCGTCCCCGCCAACCGTGCTTGAGAGGCTGGCGGGATCGAGAGCAGGGCCTCCCCGGAAGATCTCAAAGTTCGGGTGGGTTCATAGGCCGAGATGCGGTCAGATAGGTATCTTGGGCCGGAACCGTTTAGGGCTTTATAGGCCAGTACCAACACCTTGAATTGGGCCCGGTAGCAAATCGGCAGCCAGTGGAGCTGGTGCAACAGGGGGGTTGTGTGCTCCCTGCGCTCCGCTCCTGTTAGAATCATGGCTGCCGCGCGTTGGACTAGTTGCAGCTTCCGGGCCGTCTTCAGGGGCAGCCCCACGTAGAGAGCGTTGCAGTAGTCTAGGCGGGATGTGACAAGAGCGTGTACCACCGTGGCCAAGTCAGACTTCCCAAGATACGGGCGCAGCTGGCGCACGAGCCTGAGCTGTGCAAA